TGGCCTAGTCCCGCTCGCTCTCGTTGCTGGCGCCCTCCGGCCGCCGCTCCACCTGCTCATTGATCTGCCCATCCCCGCCCCGGCGGTCCTCCCTCTGGACCTCCAGGCAGTCCTCCTCGTCCACGTGACTCACATCCTCGTCCTCCTCGTCCTCCTCGTCCTCCCTCTTCTCCTCCTCGCCCTGCACCTCCATCCTCACCTGGCCCTTGACGTCCACCACCCCCTCGCCCTCCTCCTGGGCGCCCAGCAGGTGGTAGGTGGCCGTGGAGCCCTCGGGGCTGTGGCCCTCCTTCACGGGCGAGGACGCCGTGGACTCGTTGCTGACGGGCGAGATGTCGCTGCTGCTGTGGTGGTTCGCGGCGGCCGGGCTGGAGGGTGACGTGGACTTGACTGGGATCTGCCAGGAGGGGATCTTCGGGGCTGACGGGGAGGGTGGGAACTGCCTCCTGGCGGTAGAGGGAGGAGAGGGCGGCGTCATGACTACATCCTGGGGCTCCCACCCCCCTGGATCCCAAGGCGCAGCCACAGTGCCACTGCGCAGGGGACAGAAACGAGCTGGGCAGCCACCCTCCCTCCCTCCCACTCCCTCCGCTTGGATCCACGGCCTCTGGAGGCTGGAGCAGCTGAGACGGAAGCCAGAGACGCCTGGGCTGCCCACAGAGCGCCCTGCCCACTCGGGGGCCTCCTGGGCCCTCCTCACAGCTGGACACCCGCCCCCAAGGGCCTGCCAAGCCCTGGAGCCTGTTCCCTCCTGGTCCTGACATCATCCCCGCCTCCAGCCCCAGGAGAGGGAGAAGGTGAGGGGGGGTGGATCCCCAAACACCTGGGCCTCGGACTCTTAACGTGTCTACAGCTCTGCATGGGGCAGGGGTGGGGGGGCGCGGTGGAGAGTGCACTGCTCCGGGTCCGACACATCAGAACCAGAAGGGAGGCCCTGAGGCACTTTCTTAGAAAACCTCTGGGCTCAACAGTGGGCAGGGAAATCACTCCCTACCCAGTTCCCCGCCCTGGGCACCATGCCAGCAGCCAGCCCAGACCAAAGCCAAGCCTGGGAGGGACCTGGGAGGTCAGGTCCTCTTGGCAACAGCTTGGGAATCCAGCTCTAGGACAGCGGCCGCCTGTGTGCCTGAGCCTCCTGGCTGCCCAGCGCCCAGCACCGGGCAGGGCAGCTCTTCCTCCTCAGACCCCCCGGGGAGAGCACACGCCAAGGCCAGGGTGGTCATCAGCATCATGGACGCCAAGGAGACATTCAATTGGCAGTTTTCTTGTCTCCAATATCAGCCAACACCTGCTCTCTGTCCCCGGGCCTGGAGGGCTCCTGTCTCCCAGGTTCGGAAACACAGAGGTTTCCCTAACGACAACTCCCAAGCTCAGCCAGTCACCCCTCTACAAGGCCAGTTCTTTTCTTCAGAGAAGGCCTGCAAGGAGGCGGCTTGGAGAGCTGGGTCCTCCGTCTGGGGCCCCATCCTTGGCCCTGAGTTAAGGGCCAGCTTGTGCTTCATACTGCCTCACACGGCCCCACCAAACCCCGAGCCTGCAGAGGAATGTGAGCCCGCAGATCAGGTGGCCAACCAACCTGTGTCCCAGGACACAGGCCTTTCACTTTTAACACCAGACGGTCCCTGCCCCGGCCGGTGTTGCTCAGTGGTTGAGCATCGACCCATGCACCAGGAGGTCACTGGTCCCAGTCAGGGCACATGCCCCAATTGCGTCTCAATCCCCAGCAGGGAACATGCAGGAGAAAGCTGGTCCATGACATTTCTCTCTCATTGATGTTTCTCTCTCTCCCTGTCCCCTTCTTTCTCTAAAATCAATAAAAACATATGAAAAAAAAAAAAGCAGATAGTCCCTGACCAGCCAGAGTGGCTCAGTTGGTTGAGCGCTGCCCTGTGCACCAACAGTTGCCGGTCTCTCTCATTGATGTTTCTCTCTCTCCCTGTCCCCTTCCTTCTCTAAGATCAATAAAAACATATGAAAAAAAAAGCAGATAGTCCCTGACCAGCCAGAGCGGCTCAGTTGGTTGAGCGCTCCCTGTGCACCAACAGTTGCTGGCTTGAGTCCATCAGGACACACACCTGGGTTGTAGGTTCAATCCCGTCGGGCCACGTACGGAAGGCAACCGATGGATGTTTCTCTCTCACATCCATGTTTCTCTCCCTTCTTCTCTCTAGCATGTCCCTGGGCGGGCTCAGAAGGTGCCATTCCTGCGGAGGGACAGCAGAGGGGGACCACCGCTGGGGGTGGGGAGGCAGGCGTGTGTCTGCCCTGCCTTGAACCGTAGGACCCTTCAAACTAAGGATCGGACCTGCTGTGGGGACCTTCTCAGGACCTGCTGGACTCGGGGTAGAGGAGTTGGCCTGTCCGAGGGATGGACGCTCTCCTCTGCCCAAGGCCCTGCTTTCCCGGACCAGGTCTGACAGGGCCGAGGAACGTGTATTTCAAAACTCTTGTGGCACGCGGACTGAGAGGGCGGAAGGGGCCTACTGGGGACGGAAAAGTGAGGCTCGAAAGATCCCAACTCACTGCCTGAACCACACAGCACAGTCAGGGCCCCTGGGGCGACGCACCCCCTCCCAGCAGCTAGTCCAGCGGAGCCCCCTCCCCAGCCCCAGGCTGAGCGCAGAGCATAAGCCCCGCCTTCTCGCTCCTACCGATTCAGAAGAAGCCCTTTCAAGGAGTTAATTTCCGACTTGAGTTCATTGATGTTCTGGGACTCCAGGATCCAGTTGGTGGAGGTGGTGGCCTGAAGGTCAAAACATGGGGGAACAAGGATCAGAGTGGCGCCCCCCTCCTGCCCGTGGAGCTAGGTGGTTGGGGTGGTGGGCAGGACGGGGTCTGGGGGACCCCGGGCATACCCAGGGCACCCTCCTCGGAAGGTTCAGCCGCTGCTCGTTCAGGACTCTGCCTGCCTGGGTGTCTCTGTTTAATGACAACACTAAGGAATCATGACACGTATTCAGGTGTAGAAATGGTTATATAAAATAGAATGACACAATGACAAGAGAGCCTGTATCATTTAGGGATACAAACCAAAGTGTTTGCACTGTGACTGGAGAAGCTGTCTGGGGTGGGGGTGCGGGCAGAGCTGAGGCAGGACCGGCTGAAGTGGCAGCTGCGCTGGGCGCGGGCCTGTGGGTGGCTGTGCGGTGCCTCCATTGTGTGTGTTTGAAATGTTCCATTAAAACAAAACTAATAAAATAAATATCCACCTCTACACCAACGACGCCCTCCACCTAAGTCCCCCTCCCTGCAGACAACCACACCACACACAGAAGAGAACTGGGGGTTGAGACAGGCAGCCACCTGCCCCCGCAGGTACCAGAGACGGGTACCCAGAGCCGTCTCGGAGGATCAGGGCAGCGATCACCTCGGGCACCTGTCAGTCCAGCAGACAGGCTGCACCCAGGGTGCACTTCCCCGCGCGGGTCGGAGCCCTGCGGCCCGGGCTCAGGAAGGCCAGACCCTGCACTGCACCTCGCTGTCAGCGCAACCAGGCCACCCATCCCCAGCCACTGTTCGGAGGTGACTGAAGGCTCAGCAAAGAGAAAGCAGCCGTCCTAGGACTGCACGTCGCTTCCTTCCCCGAGGAGGGCCCAGGGAGGGAACAGCCACGATGACCTCTGACAAACAGCATCCTTCCCCGGACACTTTCCCTCGGAGGCTGTTGTCCTATAAACTTCAGAGGCCCGCCTTCTCCTGCAAATCTGGCTGGGATGGATGGAGGAGGAAATCACGGTCCCCCCAAAGGCGCTGCCAGTGGCCAAGCTGCCTGTGAAGTGTTTATGGGCCCGTTCCAGGTGGTGGCCTCAGGTGTGTGGGCCTGCATCACCCGGGCTAGAGGCCACCCGAGGTGGCTGCAAGGGCACAGATGACTCGTGCGAGGCCCCTGCTTCCCTGACAATGCCTCCCTGGCCTGACACAGAAAACCCCAGCGTAAGGTCAGGAGGACGTGGGGCCCCAGGCTGGCAGAGGGAGGGGGCCTGGGCCTCTGATGTGGGGCGGGGCTCGCTGCCCAGCACACCTTTGCAGGGAGAAGGCTCAGAGGGCCACAGGGCTGGGGAGGAAAAGCCGGCAGTCTGAGAGCAAGCGCGTGCAAACGCCCACCTCCCCACACACGCTCCCTGGGGGCCCCGCTCCAGACCACCAGACAGCACAGACCTGGAGCCACTGTTCTGGCTTCTCTGAAGCCCTGAAACTATAGCAGCCCATTAACAAGGGAGCAATTTCCACTCACCGGCCTGCAAAGGACTCAGATTTCCAAACGCATGTGGTGCCAGATGCCAGGATTTAGAAATAAAACCTGACATCTGGGGCTTTTTAGCCAGTCTCTTTAAAAACAGTTGTAGAAAAGTCCCAGCCTCCAGTTTTATGTAGGTTTTTTAATTACTTAATGCTCTTCTTTTTAATTTTTTACAGTGCTGCAGTAGGAGCTTGGAAGCCAGATATAAAAACTTATATTACAGCTGAGAAAACACAGCTCCGAGTCCTTGGTTTATGGGGTAACCAGTCTTCACACATATGGTTTAGGCACCAAACCAAGGAGCCCCGCTTTCGTCCAGGAGAGAATGGATGGGAGGGGCCGGGGGCACGTGGGGGGCCATCAGAAAAACAAGCACAAAACACTCAGGCGGCTCTCAACCACTAAGCGCCATCCTGGCCTCCCCCCTCTTAAAATGCAACATGTGGTCTTAATCTTAATGGTTAAGGTCTGAAACAGTTTTCCAATTTCCGGAATGGCTTCTGGCCACGGGCAGGCCACCGCTCCAAAAGATGATAGAGGATCGCGGGGCGGGGTCGTAACCGGCCTTCTGGGTGCTTTATGGGCCACCTGCCCCTGGGGCACACACGGTGGCTGGAGGTGGCCACCCGGCAACGGCACCCGCCACCTGAGGAAGAAGTACAGGCAGCCCCTCTATGTGGGGGTATCTGAGGAGGGGATTCTCAGGAGGCACCCAGATTCCATGGGAAATGGAAAGATGCCCATTCTGCTGGGTTTTTACAAATGCGGGAGATTTGCACTCGGGTGGGCCCCCTGGGAGAGCCCCTCAGAGTGGGATCCTTACAGCCCCGGGGGTGGAAGCAGCCAGAAAGCAGTCACTGGGCCACTGTCTCCGGGGCCCCGCCGGTCCAGGACAATGCCTCAGGATGACCTTGTCACTCGCCCACAGACCCCAGGCCAGAAGCCTGACACCCTGGAGCTGGCTGCAGCCAGGCCTGTTCTAAGCATGCCAATGAAGGAGGTGCCACTACAGCTCCATTTTGCAGATGAGGAAACTAAGACCCTTGCCTGTGGTGGCACAGCTAGCAGGTGGCAGGGAGGGTTTTAACCCAGGCAGTCTGATCTGAGTTCTGGTATTACTAAGACAGCTTCAGATTTTGGAGTGAGACGTGGAAACTGCCCCAGTCAATTCCAGTTGGCACTACATCCCTTTGGGGTTGCCTTGCCCTGAGCGCTGGGCTTCGAGAACTTGGGCATCACCACAGAGTTTAGCCCAGTGCCTCTTGGCAACTGTGATCTGTGACCTCACATGCAAGTGGAGACTGTTCTGTGTCTGCACCATCGGCCTCAGAGGTGGGCATGTGTGACGACGGGAGGCCCCGGGCAGAGAGCTGCTCCTCCTGGCTCCCGGGGAGGTGCCAGGGAGAAAGAAAGGACAGCCTCCAAGCTGAACGCCTCTTTCCTCTACAAGGGCAGTGTGGGCCCCTCGTGCAGTCAGTGTGAGAAAAGACCAAGTCAGACCCCACAAAAGCGGCGAGCTGGCAGAAAGGACTAGAGTGAAGAGCGGGACAGGGCACACCTGGGGGACCAGGGTCAGGGACCAGTACCTTGGCTGTGGCCAGTTCATGGGCGAGCTCCTGCACCTTCTGCTGCTGTTGAATGAGCAGCTCCTGGACGGAGGCTAAGGTCACCTGTAGCTGAGTCACTGGGAGAAAAGAGCAGTGGCGTCTCTGTTAAATGACATAAACGGATTCTCCTTCTTCTAGTGACATGTTCACACACCTGAAGCTGCAGCTTCTAAATGAACTGCAGACACCCAGCCACATCATTTACCTGAGCTCTGGGCAATCCACCTGCACTGCATCTACCTGCAGTCTCTCTACTTCCTCTGCCCACTGTGTCGCTGTCCATGGTCAACATATATCCATCCAACCTCTCCCCTCTAATCACACTGGCTGCTGATCTGCCCTGCTCTCGGCTTCGGTAATGCCCACACCCCGGCCTCGGCGTGTCCTCGCGGCATCGCTGCAGTGTCCAGTCCCGGAGACGGACCTCAGGTTCCACACCCTCCAGGATGGTTGAAAACTGCCGACCCCCATGCCCTGCTGCTCCTTCGCCCTCCCCACCCAACCCTGAGGTGCAGAGCTCCCAGTCCTGTGGCCTCGTCAGGGCCTGGGGCCACCGTGCGGCAGGATTTCTGAGGCCTGCCTGGGACAGCGGCTCCCGCCCTTGCCTGAGTTTTTAGATTCAGAGCCTGCACCTAGTAAACAAGTTTATCAAGGAGAAAAGCCACCTCTGGCGCGACAGGTCCCAGCTAATCTGGACCATCATCGGGGCACCGGGTGATGAACGCGAGCCCCGTGGAGTCGATGACAGAGGAGGTGGCTGGGGTCCCGGGAGCCGCAGTAATTACAGCCTCTCTTGACCCTGCGTCGGAGTCTTAGAGGGAAGGGGGAAAATCGCTGAAAACCCCCCTGAAAACCTCATAGAAGCAGAAATTAAAAATGAACTTTACAGCCCTTAGAAAGGCTGTCATTTTATTCCCCTTATTAATATTCTGAGGTTGGGAGCCTTTCCGTAAAAACATAATTAATTGAGGCCGTGCCGACAGTAAACAAGCAATTTCAAATTAAACCGAAATGACGGCGGCTTCATTTGCAAATGTGAACAGATTCTCAGAGCAGATAAATGAAGTCACCACATAAAGTGGAGACGGAGGGGAGAGGGAGGGGCAGAGAAGGGGCTGCTCGGGGAGCTTTGAGGGGTGACTTGATGGAGTCATTAATCTTTACCTGTCTGTGCCACGCTGCCACTCAGCTCCGAGAGACTCGCCTCCATCCTCTCCAGTTGCTTCCTGTCCTCTCGTCCGCCCATGATGAGGGGGAGCAGGTATTTCTACAAGAGGCAGGGTGGGCAGGAGGGGTGCGTATTTGGGTTACTGTCCACCAATCTCTCATTCTGCAGACCAGCCTGCTTCCCGTCACGCCCAGGTTGTGGGAACTCTCTAAGCAAACACCATCAATGAAGGAGGCATCCGAAAGCTACGAGACTGTGGCTCATTCCAACCAGGTAAAAATCCTGTCTGAACAAGGCCAAGGACCAGGGAACAGGGACGAGTAAATCCATTTGATTTATTCTTATGAAACACTTTTTTGGTTCTTTTATGTAGTTTTCTTAATGGTGTTATATAAACTCTCTCTGTAACAAAAATATGTAAACTGTACTGTAAAAGCTGTCAGATAAAAATATAACATGTGACCTCCAGGAGTGGGGAGAAATTTCTCACACTTTTCTGAACCTCTAACAGTCTGAACCATGTGAGTGAACTGTCCATTCAGAAACTAACGAGTAAAAGTAAGTGAAAAATTACTTGAGGAACCAGATGAGAACCCACAGCAGGTTCTGGGGCCTTGGTGCTTTTACCAGGGATGAGACACGCATGTTCCATGGCCGTCGGGAGAGCTCACCTTGGTCTTTCTCTAAACTGAGCCTTGAGTCCTCAGAACACACCTCCTTCAGCTCCGAGTCAGATGCATCGGATTCCCCCAGAACTGAGACCCAGGGGCAGAAGGGAGAGGAAGGGGCAAAAACTGAAGAAAGTGGCCCTGGGAAGAAGGGCAACCAAGCAGGGGCCCCCGAATGGGGAAACAGACTGGGGAGGATGAGGTCGTGGGACGTTCAGGAAGAAGGCAGGTGGGCAGCGGTGCCACTTGGGAGAGCTGATGAAAGGACATGCCCTCTGAAGTCCAAGAGCTCAGGACCTGGCGCCTCCCAGTGCAGAGCTGAGGCTGCCACCACCACTCAGAGCAGCCTGGTTAGTCGCTGGTGGGTGTGGGCTGGCGGGTGTGGGAACTGGCTGGCGGGACCAAGGAGAATGTTGGTTCTCACTCCACTTGGGCCCCCGATTGGACAACAAACAGCAACTTGCCCATTAAGGGTCTGGCTGGGAGGCAGGGGCCTCTCGCAGGCTGCGGGGACGCGCTCCGAGGGCGGCTCCCGAGTGGAGAGGTTATTTAGTGGCGCGCAGCACTCTATTCTGCAAAGTGCTTTCAACCACGGGAGTTACTGCCTGCAACCGAGAAACTCGCTCAGTGTAGCCGCAGCTCCAGGGTGAAGACTTCCTAATACAAAAGTCAAGAAGTTCTCATACGTGTAACAAACTACAAGTTCCATTTCTGAGATCAGAAACGCCCTGGGAAGGCACACATACTAGTACACTAACCACCCCAGCCTAAACCTGTAGGTATTTATAAACCTCTCCTTGTTTAATTTAAAGAAACTATTAGCAGGTGTTGTAGAAACTCTCCTGTCACCACTGTGACTGGTTTTCCCACGTCTCTTTCCTTTTTTACGCAGAGAACTGACCCTGCTGCCCGGGCCCAGATCCCAGCCTCCCAGGGCCAGGCGGTCGGTGCTGAGCGCAGCCTGGACGTCCAGGGAGGCTCTGCCTTCCCGGTGACTGCGCACAGTGATGGGAAAGCAGCTTCCCGCGCAGGGGAAGGGGAGGCATTGGG